CCCTAATTTTCTGAAACTCCCTTGTAGCAGTCGGGCCAGAGTTCGCACGCCGCGACATCGGCTTAGAGGTCTGCGCACCAGCAGCGTGAACGTGTGCAAAAGCGTCCGTGACCGCTGTGCGCTCAAAATCTCCGAGGCCCTCTTCGTCTGTGCTTAAATGAGGCACAACGGAATCTGTGCATCTGTACATAGGTACATTTTGATGACCGCAGAAGTGGCATCGAGCCACGAATGAAGGGTCAGCAGGTTGGATGTCCGCCGATTGAACGGCAGAATACAATACACCTTGTAACATGACTTGACGTGTTGAGGCGTGTCTGTAAGAGCGCCCAATTCATAGTCAATGCCGTCCAGGCTGATTGGGATCATATTCTTCGGCAAAGGTGTGAACCCATCGCACCTCTCCACCGTGTAACCAGTCACAGGCACTGCCTGCACGATCTTTGGTGCGAGGATGTAGCAAAGAGTAGCTCCCAGCACCAAAGGTAAAGCACGAGTGGCCCCTGTACTGCACGCTTCGTAGTAACTCATGCTGCTTGTTTGTGTTGATGTCGTTGAGGTGCCCTCCAAGGACATTATAAAATCCTCCCCGAACCTTACCGTGACCTACCACAACCTACTTGCTACTAGGGTTCCTATGTCCTATGCTTCTTAAATTACCTCGGGCTCCATGTACCTATATAGTATATACTATGGCCTTAGAGTACATATAGAGGAACCCCCTTAAGGCCCAAGTGCATACTATATAAGTACACGGGACCTGAGGGTTAGAGCCAAGCAAGTAGCTTCAGAAGGGAAAGCCAGCATGGCTTGGCGTTCCTCGACATGTAATAGAGATTCCTTAACAGTTCGAAGTTGGTGTACAGTATGGTATGATTGTAACAGGAGCCGTAAGGAATAGTATTACTAGTTATTCCGACCCCTAAACCCTAAACCGTGGGTTTCTTTCAAGGGGAACCAGACTGTTGGGCTTCATGGGTTTAAGAGTTTAGGGACCTTTGGCAACCTTTCGCCTTGAAGATTAGAGCATGTTTCGGGGTTAAGTTGTAAGATGGCTCAATGAGGGGGGATCTTGTTCCCTTTAAAGGGACCTTCGGGATCTGCTGGCATTGTGGAATGACTTCCGTTGTGGTAGCGGCCTTTCATCCGAAGGCCTTGCCTCAAACCACGCAACTGAAACCCTTGAACCCTGTAGCCCAAGCCCGAACAAAGTCAGAAGCATGTAACCGAAACCCCGCACGCTCGTTTCAAAAGACTCAAAGCCTGAAGCCCATGTTCCTAAACCCTAAATGCCCTAGATTAGGGTTTAGGGTTTAGGGATTCCTAGATCACTCACTCCACAACCCGACACAGCCCCTGCTCCTAGACTCCGAAACCTCTTGACCAGGCAAATGCCTCCTGATGGTGTTTAAAGCTTCGGGTTTTGGGTTTGATCCAGGGGCCTTCAATTAGAATAGGGTTT